TTGCCGAGTTTGCAAACTCGGCCTCTAAATTTGGACTTGCTTCGGCGGGGGTGGGGGATGATGACGACAGTGTGATGCAAACTCAACCAACAATATCACCACAAGAGCCGCTGTACTCGATATTTACAGCACTTTCGCGATGTCGCACTTTCTTGTATAGTTGCCACCCCTACTTCTGGACTGTGCGTCTTAAACTTTGAGTCTCGAACGGCTTGCAGCGAAAACTCGAAAGTGGTTGGGGGAACCGTTTTCCTCGGTATTTACAGTACTTGTGCACACGACCCCGCTTTTACTCGGTATGTACAATACTTTTGGTGATGTTGGTGATGAAATGTGTTTGATTTTCGTGATGTTGATGATGAAATGGGTTTGGCTTTTGGTGATGTTGGCGATGAAATGTGTTTGCTTGTTCGTGAGCACACAACCCAACTTTTCATTACTCGGTATTTACAGTACTGTTGGTGATGTTGGTGATGAAAGGTGATGAAATGTGTTTGCTTTTTGGTGATGTTGGTGATGTTGGTGATGAAATGTGTTTGCTTTGTTCGTGATGTTGGTGGTGATGATGTTGATGACAATGACGAAGTGTAGTTGGTAGGGGGGGTGGCTAGTAGTAGTAGTAGTAGTAGTAGTAGTAGCAGCAGCAGCAGCAGGAACAGAGTAGTGGTAGTAATGGCGGTGGCAGTGGTGGTAATGCTACTGCTGGTTGTAGTGGTAGTAGTGGCAGTGGTGGAACTAGTGGTAGCAATAGTAGTGCCGAGGGTTAAGAGTCCTCGAAGCAGCCGTAGTAACTCCAGTATACGTGCTCTTGCGATACCCCTTACTGCTGATAAACTAGTTCACACAGATTTCGCAAGGGTGTGCAGGAACTGCAAGGGAGCTTCCTTGCTAGCAAGCTGCTGATTCTGCTGCTTTTCACGGTGACAAGACTGGGTATGTTCAGGCTATGGGAGTGCATTGCACTTGGCTGTCAAAACCCGAAAGTCATGATGGGGCACACATGAAATCAGCACCACCTTTGTGCGCGGAACCCTCGAAAAGATACTACTTATACTACTGGTAGCAGAGTGTCCAGAGTCGGGAAAGTAGGGCTGTTGTAAACAGCTGCTACACAGACACTAGCAGAGTGTCTTGGAGTCGGGAATGCAGGGCTGTTTCAAACAGCTGCTAAAGACAGTGCAGTCAATCCCAAGCATCAGCGCCACCAACTTCAATTTCAATCAGCAGTGTGAAACCAGAACAGGACGTTCACTCAATTGTGACTCGTCTCTGCCGGAGGCGTGCCAAGAGATCATTGCCTCCAGCCTGGATGCCTTGGCCAGAGCAGATCTTCATCGGTGAAGGAGCTGTCTTCCCATATTTTCCCTATGCAGTTTGCCTTGAAAAGCAGCTACAAGTTGTGACATCTGTATCTGTGGCAGCCCAGTCCGAGAAGAGGACTTGCGAAGCCCTGGGCAGCATCAGCACTTGCAGCGATTCTGTAGATGCAGGAGACACTTGACAATCCAAGACACTCCTGGCTTCCTCGGCTTCTCTTCTTGCGCCCTCTTCTTCCATTTGGACTCAGCGAGAGACGGAGTCAGCGCCCGGCCCGGCTCAGCTCTTTCCAAGAAGCAGGCCGGTTGATTGGGCTTTACACCATAGCCCATGCGCTCTGCGAGGGTCTTCAGCTCGTGCACTTCGTGATCCTCCACAGGCTCTCAAACGGCCCAAAACGATTGAAAACCAATGCCCGAAAGCATACCCCACAGCTCCTCGACCTCTGGTGCTTCGTCTGATGCCTGTCGAATGACATCATGGAACCTTGACTATCCATGCACAAGGCTGCTTAGCATGATGTCCTACCTCCTGCAATTCCTGCAGTGCGAGAATCTGCTTTGGCTGGAGTTCCTGCATGCAGTAAACGATCTCCTCCAGCTTGCTCTACCGACGCTGCATCATGGATGCACGATGACCCAGGCCCAGCATCGCCTCTGAGTGACGCCGCCTGCGAGCTCGAGCCAGTGCCACTTCCTGAGCTCGCGATGTTGCGTGATACGCAAAACCTTCGCTTCAGATGACTTGGTTTCGGATGCCGGCCATCTGCTCGACACTGCGGGCATGCTGGTTGATTTCACGGGTCTCCCTGGCACTGATGGCATTGCTTTCGTCCCTCAGAGCAAGCCACGGGAAGCTTGGAATCGCCTGAAATAGCTCAATGCACTCGACCGGCGCTCGGCCATCTCATCCTCCGAGAGCAGCCGCACACCTCGCGGGAGCAGCGGATGCAAAGAGCATACCTCGCCAAGATGTAGAAAAGCCGAGGCCGGTGCTGGATCGGTCCATCGGCTCCTCCTGTCGTGATGAGAGAGAGAGAGAGAGAGAGAGGGAGAGGGGCGTGGTGAAAGTGGCAAGCTGAACCCTAGACAGACGGACTGCTTTTCTGCTTTTCTCTGCCTGCTCGTCGCAGTACCCGCCTCGGGACACACAACATCCAAGCTAGACCAAGCAAGCCCCGTAACCCTCGTTCGGGTGCCCACCGGCCACATCTTTCGAACCTCTGCGCGAGGGCTTTATGTCGCCTGGCGATGTCGGGAGGCTTGGGTGCAAAGCCAGACTCGGAACGAACATGGCGGCAGGACCAGATGATAATGGTCTGAGAACCATGTCCGCCGCGGCCCTTCAGGCAAGTCACATACTCAATGTCCATTCTCCGCACTGTTGCCCTCTGCGCCCAGTGCAGTCCAGTGCAGTCCAAACCCAACAGATGCTGCCTGGCGATGCTGCCGTGAGTCAGCAGAGTCGCTCCTGGACACAACCGAACAGCCACACCCAGAACCAGAGGCATCCTGAGACCGAGCGCAGCTCCATGACCCTTGTTGAGTGGGTCGAAGCCTGACGAAGCCTTGCCTTGTGAAAGGCACACAACGAAGGCCAAGGTCTAATCTCCTGTGGTTCCCGAGTGCGGGTACTGGAGGGTCTCCGAAGGTTCGGCTCATGAACCTGAAGCCATTGGAAGGGGAAGATACTCGGGCCCTTCCCGGCTGCCGAGCTCCAGGCCACGGCGATCGGAGGAGAGCACTGCAAGGACTGGCCTTGATTTTCAGATGTCACTCTGCCACAAAAACGCCGAAGTGGCGTAAGGACGGCTGTAGGTCTCACTGCGCTTCTGACAAGCGCCTAGCAGATCAGATTGGATGTCGGCGAGAGCGGCTCTTGCATCGCTCCGTTCCTCACATCAATCAGATGTCGTCTGCCAATGTGCAACCCGATGCCACGATGCCTCGGCGCTTGGCTGCTAGGCAATTCAACAAATGCTTCCCCCCTTGGACCGAAAACACCAACAAATATCAAGGAATTCTATCTGCATGTCGGCGGCAAGTGACGTTAACGAGGTCATGCAAACAAAAGAAGTCATGTCTCTGCGGCACTTTTTGCGAGGAACCGTCTGGCAGCTCAATTTCCGCTTGATGCAGACATCTTGCATTGCCGATGACCACCTGCTTCCTCAATGCCCATTGCAACAACAGCTTCGTGAAGCTCGAAGTAAGATGAAGCGTCAAGGAGGCTGCTTGACATCTCAGCAAGCGCGATTGGGCTGGGTGATACATTGAAAAGGAGAGGCAGAGACTGCGCTGCACCTGAAACCTCAATAAATTGAAACTTGTGCCGCAGCTACCTCCGGCGCCCTACTTGAAGCTTGGCCTCCAGGGCCATCATTTCCGCCACAATGCGCTTGACTGCGGCAAGCCTTCAGCATCAAAGGATATCTTTGTGTCCTGAAGATGTTGAAGACCAGCTGAGACAGAGGCCCTACGGGGCCAAAGTTCATCTCCCCATGCCCCAAGTTTGGAAACCAAAGCAGCCTGGCACAAGCTTTTGCCATGGCAATTCGCCAACTGAGCCTCTCTGCGACCTCAAGGTGTCTGTGCTTTGCTGCTGCAGCCAGCCGGTCAGATAGCGTCGTACCTGCGTAACGGTGGGCAGCCACTCGACTGAAGTTGGAAACAACGGTGCAGCTCAGGAGCAGAATGCGCTGGAACCTGAGCGGCCGACAGTTCGCACCATGGGCCGCACATTGCGCACTGACGCTTGACACAAACACGCTCGCAATTCGTGCCCCGGCGGCAATGGAGTCCTCGCCGGACAGCATTACCAGCGTGGGCATCACCAGCTCCTTTCCGGGTAGGCTCGGTCAACGCGCCAAGTGCCATTACCTAAGTTCACCGGCCTCAGGCCACAGCAAATTCTGATACCAGAAGAAGTTCCGGGACAGACTATGCCTCAGCTGCACAGGAAACGAAGTCAGCAACTCCAACCAACCGACAAAATGCTCATCACAGAATCGCCCATGGCGGCCAGTACACGCGATGAAGAGCTCGCGAGCAACGAAGTAGTGCATCAGCAGCTGCGTAGGCGTTTCCGGCCGCCTGTACATGAAGTTGTAGCAAACCTCGCGTCAGCTTTGCCGGGATGCATCATGCGAGCCTGTGCATTTAGAAAAGGCCCTGGCATCTGGCTTGATGAGAAGGAAGCAGACTGGATCCAAGAAAGTTGCAACTTTGACCTCATCTGGCAGCTGGCACTTCTGAGTCGGAGTCCTCCTGGGCAAATGATCTGAGCACAGCGCAGTCTCCTTGGAGTTCTTACACATCCAGGCAACCACGATGGAACCGAAGGAGTGGCCGACAAAGTGAGCCTCCAAGCATTCCAGCCAGCAGCTCCCGTCCCTCACCTCCCCTCCCCTTTTCCCTCGCATGTTCGGCGAGGCGCCGAGTCGAATTCCCAGCTGGCAAGCATGTCCCGAAGGCAGGCGACCATCTCTGCACTGGAAGGCACATCCTGTAGCTCAGCTCGCCCGCTGGCCAGACCCCACCGCCCCGGCCAACCCCCACAACTGCCGTCCTCATTGATTCGCATCGAGATGTGCGGCAGGGATACCAGGAAGATACTCTTGCCCTTCGGCACCTGCCTCTTCAGGACTCAGTCAAGCCAGGCTTGCCGGACCCCGACTTGCAGGGTTAGGCTCGCCGTTCCAGTTCCAGCCTCAGCAGCTCTGTGATGAAGTGCTCCTGAAGGTCCCGAGACCAAGGCTGCATGGTTGCAACATAGTCTGCTGCAGATACATGCGACTGGAAAGCTACACGCGATTTTGCTGGAATGCTTTTCGACGCTCGACCATCCCCAGCTGCGATGTACAGCAGCACAACCTACAGCCCTACAAGTTACTCTGTTTTTTCGCTTCCCTGCCTCACCCTAGGGCCTGGAGGGGGCCGATGCGCTACAAACATGGCAAGCATTGCAAGCATGGGCCATTTCCAGAATCAGTACCAGACTCATTCGCCATGTTAACGTCATTTTACTGAAACCCCCTTTGCATTCTCGAGTCCGGAAACTCAACTATCAGTCGCCGCGCTCAACTAACAAACGCAATCTCGAAGACTCAGTGATGATTCCGTCCCTGGCTCCTATAAGAAAGAACACTTGAGGCGCTTTTGTCAGCCCTAAGCAGCGTCCCCATCTCAATCGTCAACCGGGGCTTGAAATCAACCGAGCGGGGGTTACTATCATGAGGCTGACGTTATCATACGCTCAGCGCCCTCCACACCAAAACCCTGCCATGGAAATAGCTCGAGCTGCGCAGTTTGGAAACCCACATCTTGTGGTTCCCGCTGCCCTTGCCAATAATTCTCCAGAAACCTGCCGTGCAAGCCGGGCGGCGTATGGCAGCAAGTTGACCCCCACCCCGTGGCAAAAGACGATTGGGGGCTCTGCACCTGGAACACGCCCAACCAACTCCCAACAGTGCAATTCTCCCGACGGCTCTGAGCCCCCTTCTCTTGCCCCTGCCACGACGAAGCCAGTACTGAAGTGTACCACTCCTAGCACTCAGCATATTTTGGTCAAGCACAGGGGCCGATAGAAACTGGGAATCTAGTGCCGCAAGTAAGTTCCGGTCTTGTGCTTCCGAAAACCCAAGCTTTCAAGGTTGTAGTACGTCACGACCTTTCAAGACTACGCACAAGTTGCTTCTCTGAAGAACTCCCTCCGCTTTCTGAGCCCAAATCCGGAAGTGCGAGGGCCGTCACCTGGCCGATTGGTCTGGCGACACTTGAAGCTTGCAGCTTCTTGTGACGGTGAGTATCTCGGCAGCCGGCAATGTAGTACAACATCGGGCGATGCTCAGATGGGATGGGATCCTGCACATAACTCATGGATACCAAAAGGCACCCGAAGCCTTACTTCGAGACCTTCACCCCTGCCATCTAGAGAAGCCTCTCTCTGAAGCAAATCTCGCAATCCAAGGCTGCGGCCATCGTCAAGCGCATGGCCTCATCAAGACACAGCTTGCATCCAGCCCGACATCCCTCTTTAGCAGCATGACGGACCTGCACGTGAGGGTTGTACCCCTCAGGGAAGTCAACGCCGGCCCAAACGGCACCTGCCAGCAGCCAACTCAGTCAGTTTGCCAGGGTCTCAGCTTGGAGGTGATTGCTTACAGTCCAGCCTTCATCTACTAGCTGGACAAGTTCTGGCCACCTACTTTCGGGTACCTGACAGGAAGCCAAGAAACTGCGAAATACTGCATCTTGCACCACGCACCACGTCAAGGCATTTTTGCATTTAAGCTCTACGGAGGCAGCCCGCTGTCTGCAATATCTCGCGACAGTGCCGCTTCCTTTCGGAGTTGCCTGGGCCGAGAAAGTCGAGAGCATTGTCGCCATTCTCATCGACTGCATGGACATCAGCTCGCCACTGTAGTAAGAGCCGGCAAACGCTTCCCCTAGCACGGTTGGCAGCACAAAGAAGTGGAGTCTCCTTGAAATCGTTGCGAGAATTAGGATCTACTCTTCGATCCAAGAGAACTTGCATGATTCCCACGTGCCCACCACGAGCGGCCAAATTCAATGGCGAGTTGTGCCCTTTTGTCCGTACACAAATATCTGGGGCCACGCCTTCTGCCAGTAAAGCGTGGACCGCCTCTATGTCTCCCTCATAGCACGAATTTGCCAGACGCACGCCATCCGCAGATCTGGGAGACAAGCCTTCGAGTTCATCTGTTTGTGGCGGCGCTTCGAAAGTCAAGGTCACCGAACCAGGCCATGCACGGTATGCTTTGGACAGTACATCACCCAGTTCCCGCTTGGACATCCTCAATCGCCAGCCGGCCGGAACGCCCTTGCCCGGCAATGTCACTCGCATACACATGATGGCTGGATCTAGAAAGCTCATATCCCTTCTCAGGTCCTCCATGAGCGTGTACGTGACGTCCACTGGATCAGCCATGGCGGTACAGAAAGCAAGGGCAACCGCTCATGCTCAATCATGCGCAGCCGTATCGTATCCACACCCCATAGACCCACACTTCATGGGGGGATGATGAAGCGGCCTAAACATCAACCACACTGAGCCCGCACGCTGCCACGGTCTCGTGATGTCAGATGAGTGAGAGAGAGCGAGAGAGAGAGAGAGAGAGAGAGAGAGAGGGAGAGAGAGAGAGAGAGAGAGTGTGAGAGAGAGAGAGAGACAGAGAGACAGAGAGACAGAGAGACAGAGCGACAGAGCGACAGAGAGACAGAGAGAGACAGAAACCGAGAGAGACAGAGAGAGACAGAGAGAGACAGAGAGAGACAGAGAGAGACAGAGAGAGACAGAGAGAGGCAGAGAGAGAGAGAGAGAGAGAGAGAGACCCGCTCCAGCCTCGTCCGGCGTGCAGTGGAAGAAGGCCCACCTCCGACTGTCGCTGCCAATGCACTGCCGACATGTCACAGGACGCTGTGCCGCAGGGCCCTGAGTCGGCTGCGCCATCCATTCGGCAAGATTTCCACGGCAGATCTCTGCCACCCTAGCAGCTGACCAGCGGCAACCTGTGCGGCGATCGAAAAACCTCGGTGGCCCCAACCCTCTGAAGAGAATCTGCAGTCACTTTCACGCAACATCCCACAGAGGAAGGGCATCGTCGCTTTGTCTCTGCTGCAATGCGGGGTCCAAGCGTCAGGAACCGACGGGCTCTTCAAGCTTTGCAGGTGAGCCCGAAAGTCAGCAACATTGGCCAACATCAAACGACTGCCAGTTTTGCAGCAGCGGCCTTTGCGCTTGCACTCCACTCAGGCAGATCTTGAATCCCACTGCAGGCCTGCCAGCGCGTGAATTTGCTCGAAGACACACATGCCGAAGGCGTGGAACCGATTGCATCGGCAGGCCCCAACAGCCTGAAAAGTGGGCTGGCACTGTTTCTCGGTGCACTGTCGGCAAACCGGATTTCGGTCTCCCCCCCGAGCACACGGCCTTGGCAAGCTGTCAAAGCACTTTTCAAGCACAGGGTGTCAAGGCCCGCGGCAGCCAGCACTTGGTCGCAGTGCAGCTGACCAGACCTGAGTCACTCAGGGCCACTTGGAACTTCGATCTTCGCACGTGAGCTCCCCGCCGCCAAAGCATTCTGCACAGGCCTGGCCTCAGGACACCACGCACTCACTGAGAAGCGAGCGGTGCTCTGGGAAGCGAGCCGTATCCCCGCTTGGCCATGCAGTTCGTTGCACACACCGCACGTCCCACACATCGTTGGCCGCAGACATCAATCTCCTGAGGACGTCGGGCTGCGGCTCAGATAGCTCAGGGAGCCGGTGCCGCCGGTGCCTGCAGGAAGGCCGCGCGACCTCCACCCTGCCAGGCAGCCTTGTCCTCAAAGCGCTGCGTGGCACGGAGAGACTCTCTTTTTCGTGTGCCGAGGAGCCGGCGGCCTTGGAAAGACAAGCGCTCTTCGCCTTGGCCTCCTCGTGTCCGCTCCCTCGTCTCCAACACACCTGGAGGCCGTTAGCCCATCTCTCGTCCTCTCGTCCTCTCGTCCTCTCGCCTCTCCCGACGCTCCCCCTGTACCCGTTTTCAGCATCCCCGTAACATGAAAAGCCCTCTTCAAAAGGAGCTGCAATGCCGCGCACCACAACATGCTTGCGCTGCAGCCCTGAGGAAGTGACACGGCAACACGAGCCGAAGGGACATGCCGACACAAGCTGAGCAGCACGACCCGACCAAAAAGACAGACAGCTAAATTCTGCCTGCTCACCTTTGTACAAGTTTGCACAGCAAAAATATTAAACAGTTCTTGTGGAATTACTTCGCTGAAAAGTTCGTCTGACCCTCAGAGCGGTTCCACATAACACCTTAAGCCAGATGACATGCCAATCGTGAGCTGCGCGTCTGCCCGAATTTTTTCTGGCGCGACTGCAAGACGCAAGTTGAAGTTCCCAATGAGTGAGCACAGCATTGCCTTCATCTCCAGCATTGCCAAGCGCTTTCCGAGGCATTCACGCGGCCCTGCATGGAATACTGGGTTCTCATAGGGTGACTTCGGGGCTTCCATCTCCTGCCACCTTTCTGGACGAAATTCGGATGCATCCGAACCCCATATCTCCCGAGATCGGCCCATAGCATAGGACATGTAGATCAGGGCGGCTCCTCTTGGAACATGGGTCCCATCGGGCAGTGTGTCAGCACTGGCCACGAACTTGGGGTCCAAGGGCACAGACGGGTAAAGTCTAAGGCTTTCCCGTATCGCAGCCTCCAAGTACCGAAGTTTGCCGAGCTTCTCGTAGTCTAAACCCTCCACATTGCCACAGACTTCCGAGATCTCACTCCGGACCTTCTCTTGCACCTGTCCGTTTCGCATCAGCAGAAACAAGCACCAGGACATGGCTTGTGCCGTGGTGTCCCGCCCCGCGATGAGGAAATTCAAGACCATGTCAGACAAGAAGTTGCGCGACAGCGAAGGATCACTCTTCATGAACAGGCCGACGAAGCTGTCCCCGGCTTCTGTGTCGAGCTTCTGCGACAGCTCATGGATGATCTGCATGCTGTACTCCTTCAAGACCTTGAAATGGGTTTCGGCCTTTCGCTCATACCCCAGCCCCAGGAACCTCAGAAGACGCCAGCCTGGAATCACAAAGCGCCAGAACAAGATCCGCTGCGCCTCGTCGAAGGAGTTGAGGAATGGCGAGTCGGCGTTGTCCAAGGATCCGACGGATGCTCCGAAGCCGATTTCCCCGATTGAATCCAGCGTGAAACGATTCAGGATGCCGAACATGTCCACGTCTCCATCATGAGCTCGCAGCAAGTCCATGACCTTGTTGCAATTCTTCTGTACGACTCTCCAAATGTGATTCTTGAATCGGTTGGCCGTGAACATTTGGGAGGCCGTCTTCCTTTGCATAACCCAGTCCTCACCATCTGCATTAAATATGCCCTTTCCAAGCAAGTCGTGGGTGATCGAATTGAAGAAAGGACCCTTGGGGTAATTGCTAAAGTTCTGTTTCAGCATGTACTCGACATTTCGAGGATCACGAGTGATAACCAATGGCGTCACGAAGAATCGGAGTATGCCAAACTGCAAAAAAATTGTGCTGCCCTCTTTCTCATGCATCTGCGTGAGCTCCTCCAAGAAATTGTATCTTCGAATAGCCGACCACAGCCTGGGCAGCACTCCCAAAAGACTCTCCCCGCTGATCTCGCTGCATCCTTTGGGCTGACGCTGCAAGAGAGCAGCTGCCGCAACTGACGCGGCACCAAGCACCATGCATGAAAGGCCAACATTTGCCTCCCAATTCCTTGAATCCAAAGTCCTCACCAAACTCATTGCAACCGGTACACCGTTGCGCTGCAGCTTTGCAGCTGTGGCATGCCAAAGGCTTGAGCCAACACAGAAAAGCTTTGACTGACCTAAATGTCGTAGCATAAACAGCTCAGACGAAAGCAAACACACCATCTCGCAGCATTGCTGCAAACCCAAGCCTCCGGTTCTTCGAACTCAAGACACAACATCAAAAGCGAGGTGCAGGTGCAGCAAGCTCAGAGCACGGCAAGGGCAAGGACCACAAGTGCTAGCACCTCTCTCTCAGAAACTCAGACCCGTAATTTCATGGCAGGGGGAAGTCCCCGGCCTGCCATCCTCGGCGCGGAAGTATCATGGCCATAGCGGCACAAGGATGCCTAGAGCCCTGAACATCGGTGGACTCAAAAGTCTGCAAGACTTCAGGCCGCGTGTTTATTAAAGCCGGCGCTTGCGATTGCCAAGCCATGTTGAGCCCAAAGCCTGATAAGCAAGAATCCCTGCTCTGCTCTCGCTTCAGACCAGCGACTGAAAGCTGTCTCTGTGACTCAGCCTCAGGTCCAGGCCAGCCACTAATTTCTGCATGCTTCAGCCTCACTTCAAGCTCGAGTCGCCAAACCGAACATGCCCAAAGGACGTGCTGCAGTCATGCAGAAAGATCTAGCCGACAGCAGTCGCTCTCAGGTTCCGGCGCCATCATCTCCGCATCGTCCATGGCCCTCTCAAAAGCCATCCGCTCCTTCAGCACAAGCTTTTATCCACATGCGCCCCGCACGTCGGCAGCAAGCGGCCGCGGTGCCTTCTCGCTGACTAGAACTGCCGGCGCCATGTTCTGCGACTGGGAATTGACTGCCAGGTCAAGGCAGGTCACGGCAGGGCTGACTGCTCAAACATGCGCTCTCGAGTAAGCCGACCAGCCTCTTTTCAGAGTGTCCCATTCTCGGAGCAGCTCCTCAACGTTGGACTCGTTCCTCTTTGGGCGGAGTGCCTGCAAAGCTGCTGCAATCGATTCCGAAACACATCGGAAAGCTTCAATAAGGATGTCATCTGCGGTGAGAAGCATTGGAGCTTTCGAAAGCAGCCAGCAACCTCTTTGGGCTCAAGCCAGCAACTACTGGTAGTAAGGAATCCCTTAGTTTGACGGATGCCCAAGCTGAGGCTTCTTTCTTCGAGCCTCCTGCAAATCCTGCATGCTGGCCATACTCGCCTGAATACATGAGAGCAAGAGAAGTTGAAGGCTCACATGTGAAGCCCCAAGCCTTGGGAGAGAGATGCGGCGTGATCCGGCCCTGGGAGCCTTGGCTCATACGAGTAAGGAACAGAAAATCCTCATCTCTCCAACGGTCTCCAGCCGGAGGGTTCCAGCAGTCGGCCGCAGGCCTTCCGACCACCAGAGCTCAGAACGAAGCCGAAGGGATATCTACAGCTTGAAACCACTAAACGATCCCCAGACAGACGCTTGCAAAAAGCCGGAACCTGCTTCTAAAGGGCGATTAGGCCATTCTCTTGCGTCGAGTTCGGATCATCGCTGCACCCCTGACAGCGTACAGAAGCAGCCTGAATGTCTTGCGTCGCTTGCAGAACTCGGCGGAGGACATCCTCGGCCAGCAAGAGCGCAGCGAGGGAGGGGCGATCATGGCAGCGCAAAGCGAAACTCACTATGTCTCCCCATCTGCAAGCTGCATATGCTGCAGGTTTCAGACACCGCTCAGCAGCGGAGACCTTTGGCCCCCACGGTCGCCTTCAGAAACTACTGCTGTGATCTCCGTACTGCCCAGCATATTCCTCGGTGACGTCGTGAGGTCCTTGTGCTCGCAGTCCAGGTAGAGCTTTGCTTCCATCCACTAATCTTGCGCGTAGTGTGCTTCCAGTTCGTGCAGCAGTGCGACACTGGAGAGGCTGCAGCTCCCTCTCTCCAGCCCTGCCAGGGCGGCTTCATAGGTGATAACCTCGGCAAGCGAAGCGGGACACCGAACAAGCCACAATCCTTTGCAAACTGATTATGACTGCCATGCCACATTCATCTGCAGACTGTATCCGCTCATCTCCGACATCAGCGACAAGGCGAGGGTCCATTTGGAACTCATCGAGCACGTGCTAAGAGCTGCATTGTACGAGATCAAGTCGAGCTGTAATGATCTCATCTTCATCTCACTAAGAAGCCACACTGCGTGAGCCCAAGAACATGCCTTTTCGCAAGCACTGATCGCGGAGTTGTATGTGTAGCAGTTGGGCTCCACTCCTGGAAGGCCAAGCATGTGAAGGGCCTCACGCCAGCGCCCAGCCGTCTCGCAGGTGCTGATCACCGCGCTGTATGTAACGACGGACGTTTTGATGCGCCGGAACCTTCGGAGATTTTGACGTGAGCCCAAACCAACCCAAGAAAACTAGCCCTGCTGCGACGCTCAGCCAGTGCAAGGCAGTGTCAGGGCTGTTCCCATTACAGCCAAGGGCCTCGAATCAAGCATTCCCAGAGCTTGCGTCCACAGGCCGCCCTTTTCCAACGAGCTGATGACTGCATTGCAAGATATGCAGTCTTCCTCTCAGGCACGAGAGCACACGTGCCACGGACACCTACCGGAGCCACAACATCCAAGCTCCTCGACCGAGCTGACATGCATCTCGACGAGCATGCCTACAGCCTGTCTCCACTGGCCTGTGCATGCGGAAACACACGTGCGACAAATGTCGAAATTGGTTACAGCATGCTCATCATGCCAACGGCGTCCATGTGCTGTGCATGGGCACCTGGTTTCTCACAGGCACTGGCAGCTGCATTGCATGCGACCCTGCGGAAGCTCGCAAGCATCTCATGAAATACACGGCACACTCGGAGAATCTCGCTGTCGCATGTCTCAGGGCAGGGTGGTCCAGTGCGCACTCCTA